GTCAACACAATTACAAACAAGCACTTTTCTTCTACGATAAAGCTTCACAAATTTATCAAACTCATTCCAGTTCTATTCATTTAGATATGTCTGTAATTTACAATGATATCGGTTCAGTATATAAAAACACAGAAGAATACACAAAAGCACTAGAGTATTTTCAAATGGCACTTGATCATCAAGACAAATCTAACCCTTTAGCTCATTCAAATTTGGTTCTTATCTATAGTAATATGGCTGAAGTACACAAAGTGATGAAACAATATTCAGATGCTTTGAATATTCTTGAAAAACTTTCGACTACTTATAAACGATCATCAGTTCTTTATGATTATCCAACTATGTCTATTATTTATATAAGTAAGGCTGAAGTATATTTTGATATGGGATCTTATTCGGAAGCATTGGAATTATTTCGAAAAGTATCTAATATGTATAAATGTTGTCATCCACAAAATTTTATAGATATAGCTAATGTTTATAATCGCATTGGTGAAATCTATCAAAGATGGGACAAGCATCTCAAGGCATTCGCATACTATGAACAATCACTTAAAAATTATCATATTGCATTTAATATTTTATTCAAACAATTACCAATGAATGTATCAAATTTAGCTATACTCTATAGTAAAATAGCTCATGTACATACAAATATGAACAATTATTCAATGGCACTTACACTGTATCAAAAATCACTTGAAATCTTAGAAAGATCTTTCCAGTTCAAACATCCGGACTTAGCATCGACATACGCAAATATTGGTCACATATATAAAAATATGGGTAAACATGACAAAGCACTTATATCATACAGACAAGCTATGAAAATTGCACGGCAATCATTGCCTGAAAATCATCGTCATTTTCTAATATATCAAAAACATGTTACGGAATTTCAACAAACGTTTTAATGAACTTTGAGTTCAAGTCGAACAGATGTTTTTCATTTTATTTTTAAGATTATTTAATGTCAAATTGTGCTTTTATAAGTCTACAAACAGTTAAATATATTAATCGTTCTAAAACAAAACAGTGTTTGTGGAACAAAATCGTCATCAGAAATGTTTTATAAATAGCAATGGATATAGATGAACAGAATTACAAAGGAATAAATCACATTCTAATCATCGAGTGGGAGTGAATATTGATATTTAGTTCATCGCATTCATTTTGTTCTTCATAGTCATTTTATAAAAATGTATTTATTGTGTCCAGTCGTTATCGATCACGTGTATTGATAAAGAAAAAAACTACTAATAAAAAAAAAAGAAAGAGAACATAATATTTCATCATACAAAAGTAATATCTGACTCATCTGATGAGAGTACAAAACAATGACGCACACAATAATAAAGAAAAGTAATAGTTACACAACATTGAAAGTTAAACTATCTTCTTTTTTTTATTTCTTACTAAATTTTCATTGATACGATACTCTTATATGTTCATTTTGTAGACGAAACATGTCGACGATAACATTTATTGCCAAAAAACGTACATATATTATTCCACAAATTGATGTTACTTTTCAAACTCTTACAAATCTGTTCTTTATTGATAAAAAATATCGACCATGTCCTAATTTGGAGTTAGTTATTCGGCAACTGAACTTTGATTTCTATCATGATCTTCTTCCTATTATTGCTCGATGGGCTTCAGATCATACTCAATCAAATTCAATTATACCACTTCAAGCAGGTACTACTGCTCGTGTTACTTATACATCTAGCCAAGCTCGTTATATTCTTGCAAATGCATTTTTTCTTAATACAACGACAGGATATGGTAGTATCGATTTTATCGATATATACCATGTACCATTTGATCGAGTAGCTATCGAGCGAATCCGATGTTTAATTGAATATTTTAGACTTTTATCGCAACAAGAAGAAAATAACAATGATCATCGAATTATTTCAATCGAACGATATTCATATGGTGAGGAATTACTCGACTGGAAAAAACAATTGGTTCCAATTCTAGAATCCAAAATAAATGTGTTTATTGATCGAATGGAAGCATCCGAAGAGGCACATGGCTTTGTAGATTTTGCTAATAAAAAAATTCATATTCATTCGATCATGCCATCAGCCACGCAAGAAGAAATTTTATGTAAGATATCGCTTTATAAAGTTCTTTTTCTTTTGTAAAAAAAATATTTCTCGTTTTTTTTCTAGTCAGCTGCTGTCCTGAAGCATTTTTGGCTATTCTAGTATGTGATACACTACGGTCTGATGAAATTGTTATACTTCGTGGATGTAAACGATTTGTTGACTATAGTGGCTATGGTGAAACATTCAAATTTGTTGGTTCACATCTGAATTATAATTCAGCAAATATTCAAGATATTCTTATTATGGATGCTTGTTTATCAAATCATTTTAGTCAATACCATATCGATCGAGATTTAGGTAAAGTGTGGGCTGCATTTTCCAAAGCTAAGAATGAAGTCATTGTTACTGGTAATTGGGGATGTGGTGTGTTCGGTGGAGATCCCACATTTAAATTTCTACAACAAGTATGTGCTACAAGTATACTCGATCACATTGTCAAAAGATTGGACTATTCAGTTTATGGCGATGAAAGATTGGCATCGAAACTAAAAGACTTAGTGAAAAAATTGGAGAAGAACAAAAAGACAGTAGCAGACGTATATAAAATGATGGTTAAATATGGTGAAAATGAGAGCAGATACTCTTCCAGATCAAATTTTAATAACTATGTAAATGAATGGCTGAATGTTAAGTGAATGTAGTCGTCGCAACTGACGACATGAACTAATAATAAAGGATGTATTATTTTACCCAGTGGACAATGCGTTAATGTAAAATTAATAAAGAATCGAATTTTTTCAGGATTAAATAAATTGTTTTAACGTAACTGAAATCCATCAAGTACGAGAGGTGCGGGTGTGGGTGTGAGTATGAGTGCTATATCCATCAAAAACTCACACTCACACCCAAAAACATCCTTGTAAAAAATCAATGTCAAATGAAAAGGGAATACGTTCCGCTGTAGCTAATTTTACCCATATTATATCATGAGAGTCAAGAAAAAAGTGAGAGACATGGCTTTCCTTAAGTAAAATGGATAGTGACCTATAAAGTGTTATGAGTTAGGAAAAAAATGAAATAAATAACATTTGCCTCCGTTAAAATGCATCCTATCCTGATTTATGAAGTCATAAGAGTTAGGGAAAATAGTGAGGGAGAATGCCTTCATTAAATGGAATGAATATTGACATATAAAGTGATGTATGTTAGAAAAAAAAACAAATAAATGATGTTTTCCTTCGTTAGAATGCATTTTGTTCTGGCATATAAAGTCTTGAGAGTTAAGGGAAAAATTGAGAGAAAATGCTTTTCTTAAATAAAATGAATACTGACGTATAAAGTGATGTACGTTAGGAAAAAAGAAAAAGATAAGTTTTTCCTCAGCTTTAATATATATGCGGACACACATATCCCTGTCACTGAGGAAAGAACAGAGAGGGCAAATACTTTCTCAGATTTTCTTACTTATATGCTCGTATATTATCTTGAAGACTTTTGGATTGAGCGTCGTTTTCTTTGATTTTTATGTTATTTGCTGTTTTCATTTGTGCTGACGAAAAATCATCAAATACAACGATATATTTGCATTATTATCATATGAATTAAAGGCGTTTTCTTTTTTTTCAAAGGTATTATATAATCTTTATTGTGTCAGATAGTTTTTATGTAATATCAAAGTAATTGTATTTTATAAGAGAGGAGTTCTATGTAGCGAAAGTTTTTTCATATCATCTTCTTGAGAATTATTTTAGATTTAATTTCATAACATTGTGAAACTTTGACGAAGCTTTACGAATGGATCAAAGCAACAGAATAAGTGTTTGTGATATAATTTATTGCGAAAAAAACAAAAACTAATTCTTGTCTTTTTGTCTTTCCTTTATAGCCTCAGTCAGTTAACAGTGATACAGGTGAAATACAACCTATATAATCGACAAGATCGTACGTGTATTCTGAGCTTTAGTAAATGAAAAATGTTATTTTTAATTTAGACGTGGATGTATTCGAAGTAAATTGACATGGATCATATTCACTATTGTGATAATAGCGGGCATTACTATTCCAACAACTATTATTCTGACGAAAAAGGAAAACGTTGTTGAAACAAATTTAACAACAATAACGATGACAACAGCAAAAGGGGCAACAACATCAAAAAACCCATCAACAACAGCAACAACAGCAACAACAGCAAAAGCATCAACAACAACAAAAGAAGCAGGTATGTCTGTGTTCAAAGAGAGGTAGAAAGAAGTTGATCGATTACTTACAATAACTTATAACAGGCTATTTAATGAAAAAGCATCAATCATATATTATTCGTTAATTCTTGCTTGTCTAATCTGATTGAAATTCTAAATATTTCATTATTTTTATTATTCTTTAAAAGAAAGAATAAATATAAAAACATTTTTTCTTTATAAAATAAAGAAATTTTTTTTCTAGGAAATCCTGTTTTTTCAGGTTTTTTTCCATGTAACTTACAAAAAAGGCAGATACGGTAAATACAAATAAAGTATTTTCAAGTATCGTCTTCAATTTTTTACAATATCATATGAAGATGTGGGGGTGGTGATAAGAAAGAATCTCGATTAATATATATCCTATTGCGATCCCAGAGATTTGTCTCATTATCTACTATAGAAAGACTATTTTTCGAAAACATTTTCTCTTAAGAACAACTATTGTATTCGAATAAACAATTTTTACGTGTTTGTTCAACAACGCAGACTGAATAAACAGGAGATTTTTGTAAACTTCTCTCTATTTTTAAATATTTTCATTTATTTTGCAAGTCTTATCTCACTTGAGAGTATTGACGGACGTGTTTATGGCGTACATGATACAGAGATAAACCAGGATAGTCGAGAATCAAAACCTGACCAAAAGGGTCAGTATCCTTCAAGCGAGTCACCAGCCGATGCATGTGACGGTAATCTTCACACAAAGTATGTAAACTATGGAGACTGTTCAACTGGTTACACTATACGTGAGTGTGGTTTGGATACTGGTTTTTACCTGGAGTTAAAGCGAGGTGCATCATTAGTTACAGGTTTACAAATCTGCACAGCCAATGATTTTCCAGAACGAGATCCACTTACAATGTCATTGGAAGGAAGTAATCAATCTAAATCGAATCTCACTCTCGGTTCAAGCTGGAATCTGATCTACAATGGGACTAGTGGTCTCGAAATTGATCCTGGTAGACTCAACTGTGGAAATGTACAATCAACCAAAAATTCAATTCAATATAAAAGTTATCGGTTTCTTGTTTCGAGCAAGCGGGATATCTCGAACAGTGTTCAATATTCTGAATTAAAGTTATTTGAATATTGATCTTTGACTTTGTCATGGCCTTCAGCCCATGATACATCTTCTGTTTTTATTTATTCGCTTATATTCTACACATATTCTTGAGTCATATGTATCTGATCAAAGCTTTTTTGTTTCTCCTTGATCCGCACAGCATATATATATATATACGCTTTCAGCTTTTTATGCTTATTCATTCGGCTTTTCTTTTCTGTCCATTCAAATTTATTTTAAATAAATGGATAATCTTCACAGACTTGGTTTCATTCTATAAAGCTATATAAAACTATTATATTGTACCACGTTTACTGGCTGTGGATGTGAATGTGTGAATGAAGAAAGGAATACCTGTATCGCCCATCCACACCCAAATTCACATCCTCAATATGCGTCTTCTCTTAAAAACGTTTGCTCAATGAGCTCAGGAATCATTCATATTCATGTATTTTAATGAACTTGTCGATGGTTCTTTGATATTTTGAATAGTATCGATTGTCATGATGGTCAAGAGAAAGTAATTAATTGTATTTTTACTTCGAACTACATGTGAATCTGATACATAAAAATAATGAATAAAAGCATAGTAGTGATAGTCATAACTTGACATATGATGAAAAAAATTGAAAGAAAGAAAGAAAGACACAAAATTTACAAAGACTTTCTTATCTTTTTATTTAGCTAGTTTTCATTTTATCCTATAGACGAGTCTCATAAAATACTATTTATTCTTTTTCCATCATCAGAGTCCGAGATGAACATCGAAACAACAAATCAATGATAGATTTTTATGTTTCATATTACCCAAATAAACTAAAATTTACAAAAATATGTTTTCGAAAATTTTTGTTTGCTTGAATATTACGGAATACGGCTCAAAATGGCCTGCCTGGTCTTTATTTTACTTGTTTTCTTGATAAAGGATTTTCACATAAGAAGAAAGATAAAATCTGATTTTATTGAAGCAATTATTGCGATCCATCATACAAAATAAATGAACTTATAATAGTACCATTCCAAGTTGGGTCGAGCCCTCTTACAAAGATCAATTTGAAGAAATATTATATTCATTCGTCTGCATTGCCTTTTTGATTTTCCTATGTTTTTTCTGATCTTCAGATTTCTGAATGTTGAAATGCATTAAAATACACAACCAGTAATAGCGATATAGACAGGAAGAAATTCATAAAATCTTCGAAATGATCACGTCGATTATCTATTAAATAAAGAACGTAACTGTATAATATCGTTGACTAATAGTTAGTAATTATGAGTTACTTTTATCGTTCTATTATTTACGCAAAGTGAACATCGAGAAAAGTTATTTTCGTTCTACACTCTTCGTTTCTATCCAGGCGTAGGTAGGAGGTAAACAATTTTATTTTTGCGTTCTTGCAGGACTAATAACGATAAAAGTATGGCGAAGCAAAAATATGACTGTTTCCTTTTTCTTCGTCATATGCCTGACATAAAAATAAAAAAAATACATATAATAGTATTGACACTCGTTGAGTCAATGTTTTTCGATACCTTTTCTCTCTTAAATATAAAGCTGATTGAGTTGAACTTTCGTAGAGTGTTTTTTTTTAAATTTTCATTTAATAATTGAAGTAAACAAGCTTTATTCTATTTTAAGCATCGACGTTTATAATTCTTGTGTTTTTTTCAGATACTATAGTCTCTATTATCGCTATAAAATTAATCTACAAAGAAACTACATTTACAATCCAACAGAAAGATAAAAGTAAAGTTATTCACTTGTTATTTAATAATGATAATAAGAAACGAAAAATATATAGATGAATTAACACAATTTCAGATAGAAAAAACTTTCCTCGTTTATTCTTCGTCGTAGATTGTAGAATCTCAAGAAGACAAAGAGGATTATATTTTGAGTTCAAACAGAGGTTCTCTTCTTATTCACTTTCAGCTAATTTTTAGAAGCAGAATTGGAACAGTTACGAGTACAGTTTCTAACAAAATTAGCAATAGCTAGCGAAGCATTTTTTCCAGTTTAATAAAAAGTGATATTATACATAGCGGCTGTTAAATAAAAAAAATAATAGAAGAGTAAGATTTTCGTTTTTATCTTCTTTTGTTCGACGAATATACTATAATGATGATGATAATAATTAGAGATACACGTGTTTCATATTATTTCTTTTTCGTTCTATATTTTTTTCTCTTGATTAATGTAAAGGTGATAAGAATAAAGGATTAAGTATCGTTTCATTTAAAATCGTAGGAGGAGTGCAAGTGCAAGGAAAATCTTCATCTGATTCACAATATTGATAGTTCAAAATTATAGCTTTGATGAGGACAACAGACAGAAAAATATTTTCTTTCTTTGTATATTTCTTTAGACAATGTATTCTAAAGAAAACTTCTATTCATCGTCACCATCCGTTAACGATACAACAGTTATCGTTCCTCTTCCACCATCAGAAACACAGCTATCGAAACGACGTATTATCTTAGCAAAACTCATCAAACATTTTTCGTCAAGAAGAGTTTTAATATTTCTTGTTGTTGGTTTAGTCGTGGCCTGCATTGAACTTGCTTATGGTCAAAAATATGAGGGTCAGTGTCCCTACCGACCACAAATCACCTTATTTCTTACGGTCCATGGTATAGTCAAACTCGTAGCTTGTGTTACTATAATTATCGCTTATGCTCAAGCCAGATTCTTAACAAATTATAAATATCTTTATGAATTAATGTTAGTCAATATTGCAATACATTTAATCTTTGGATTATTTTTCTTCATATGGTTTATACTCGGTAACGTATGGATCTGGACGGTTAACAGAAGTGTAATGCAAGGCACAGATCCGACTCAGACTTCAACATACTGTGAAAATGCACTCTATCAAGCAGCTAAACATTTGCTTATTGTACATTATATACTTATGGGAATTACAATCTTACTTATACCTGCAACATTCATGTTAAAGAGATATAGAAGACAAGCAACATCTCAAGCACAACAGGAAACAATATCAACAGCAGCGCAAAACCGTGGATATGAACTACAATAAAGACTTCAAAAATATTTTCTTTTGAAAACATAATTTTTAAAAAAATTAATCTCACAATAAACAGTAAACGGTGCACAGGCAGTTTTCAATTCTGAAGACATAAAACGATCGATAGACTATTTGTCTTCCGATCTTGAGGGTGTGGATATGAATGTTAGTAGGTTAATAGAATATGTATAGTGACACCCACACCCACCCTCAAGATTCTTTTGAAATTTACTTTTTCAGTATTATATTATTCAAAGGATTGATTCAATTAGAGATGGCGCTTGTCGCTCAGTTTCACTGGTTAAAAGCCAAACAAGTGTGATTGCCATTGCTATTGTTGTTATTGCACAACTTTACAGAAAAAAAGTAGTTGCTAGTGTTGCTATAGAAGAAACGAGTTCTTTTTTCTTATCGGCATTCCATAATGATATTTTTATGAGTAAGAAAAAAACAACTTTTAAGTATAAGGTGTAATGGTTAGATTTTAGTCATCGAATAAATTATTGTAAGTAAAGTCAATAGATAATTTAGATGAATACCTTTTTCTTTATTCATTCTTATAACTTTTCGAATACAATTCTCTATAGGTTACATTTATCTGTAGTTCGAACCTAGATTGGTATGCAAACTTATACAAATATATTCGATCTTATTGTAAATTCATAGCTAAAGATCCTCACACAATCGTCATACATTTTTTTCATATTTTCTTATTAGCAAACAATTTACAGAAGAAAGAAGCGATAATAATCTTTAACAAGACTTTAGCCTGTTTAATATTACTATCGTCAGCCACAATAAAGAAAACCTAGTTCTTATTTCGATAAAAATAATGTCCTGGTTTATGTTCGATTATTTGCCTGTGGAAATGTTACGTGCTATCTTTGAATATCTTTGGACTAATGAAATACTTAATTCATTTCTAAACATAAATGATTATCTGAATAGTGTAATATTAAATTATAATGAATCTTTTATAAATTTCAATTCAATTTTGAGGCCATTATTTGATCTCACCTGTGATCATCTTCGGCCAGATCAAGTCATCAAACTTGTATTATCAAATAGTAATGATACACCAGGTCAATCTCAATTATTTTTATCACGTTTTCCTATTGAACAATTTATTAATCTTCGTGCAATCACATTGATCGAGATCGATGATGATGATGCTCAATCAATTTTTACTAATTTAGATCAAATGAAATATCTAACATGTATTGAAATAAATCCACAATTTCATTATACACATCTCAATATTAAGCCTCAACTCACTCGATTCATTGTAAAATATAATAATGTTATTTATTTTGAAAATCAAACATTTATTAGTCAGAATCAATTACTCCAACTACGTCATTTATCTTTAACATATTGTTCATATTTTCAACTTGAACATATATTTCGTTATGCACCAATGCTCACTTCACTCAATATTTCAATCATTTTTGCAACTCATAATGGTGTGAACAGCTTTGCTGATTGCAGTAAGGGAAGACCACCACTCAATCTCACTAATCTGACTTTGTCGATTGACATGTCTAGTAAGTATCAAATGGCCAACCGAGTAAGATTTTAACTTTTCATATTCATCAACCCGATGTCGATTTTTAGTCGAGATTTTATTTAGTCAATAAAGATTCGATAGACTCAGCCTAAACATATTGTTGTTTCTTCTCTTGATGAAAACTATAGATCAGTTTATGATCGGATTGTTAAGTTAGTCAAAGAACTTCTAGTAAGACTGACAAACTAAAACATGGACTTTTCTAAATCCTCTGTCCATTATATATAAAACTGGAGTAACCATCTATTATCTCTATTCTTGTTTTTTTTTCAGTTGATTGTATCCATTCAGATCCAATCATTTCACGTGTTCACTTAGAACGATTTCTTTCTCACATACCTCGTTTACGACGACTCGAACTGATCGTTAACTGTGAGGGAAATAGCAATCTTGCTTATGGTGATCGATGGAAAATATTCATAGTTGAACGATTACCATTACTTCGAATATTTAATTTCAAGTTTCATTTAGAACATATATACCATGATAAACAAACTATACTTTCTCATTTTCGTAACTCGTTTTGGCTCGATAAAAATCGAAATTGGTTTGTAGCATACAATCCCCGTCGTTCACTTCTCTTCACAGTACCTTATTTTGCTCCTCGGTCTATTCTATACTCTGAAACTCCAATCTTACACCACTTGACAACACTACCCATTGAACAATATTCTATCTTTTATAATATGATTACTGAACTCACATTCGATTCAATAAACGAAGAACTATCTTATCGTTATACGAATGTAGATAAACTTATACTTCTCAATCATAAAATCAATAAGACATTGATTGATCTGTCGCGAATCCAATGTCTGTGTGTTAATTTGTCTTCATGCTCATTTGATACGATTATTCAACTTATTCGTCGTTCTATGCCTAATCTCAATCAACTCAGTTTGAATAGTAAATTGTCTTTGACATGTTCAACTCCTATTATTCCTCTAGAACAGATTTGCATTTTACATATGCCTTTTTTTGCATATTCACTAACGGATGATAATTTTAACTGGTCTCGCATTTTTTTATGTGTCAAACGATTATTAATGACAGTGAATAGTTGTCATGAAATGGCTTTATTAATTGATCGATTCGAAAATATGTCATGTGCTTCATTTAATATTAATAACTGTTGTATTAACGGGAGACGAAATTTACGTGAACGTCGAGTGACACGACAATGGATCATAGAAAATACACGTCGTTTAGCAACAATGGACAATAATAATTTCACTTGTCGATTTGAAGATACAAATATATTTACAGTGCATTTATGGATTGGTAAGAATGACCAACAACAAATTAAAGTATGCTATTGCAGCACATTCTATTCTTAGTATGTGCATATTGTTTATTTTTTCAGTTCTCAAATACAAGAACAAATAAAAGTAGTAATTCATGGTTCAGTTGCTTACCATTATGTGCATCAAAAAGGAACAACACATGACATATTCGTTTAATGTTGATTTAATTTATATCTTTTTACAAGTAGAGGCTAACAAATGCTACGAGAATAAGTTTCATTATAAACATGTAATGCACGTATTAAAAGAATTATTTAAGGATGTAATGTGTTTTTTCTTCACTTTCATCAGAAACTATAGATTCATTCACATATATTAAACATACTGGATTACTAATGCCGAACAATGTGAAATATTTAGAATGGATGCAATTGGATGTAGATATCATCATCATCCTACACTCCCCGTCCTTATATCCTGAGAAGTAAACCAAACATGTTCGTCAAAGAAGTGAAGTTCACTTCATAAAGCAAAAATGAACCAATCAAATTCCGTTCATGTTTTATGATGTACAGTAGTAAAATCTCATGTGACTAGAATTGTAGGTGGAGATTGATATATCTAATTAGATGATTAATAATTAATTAGTTATTAAATATTTAATAAACACACGATGTAAGTAACTTTGGACCACAGCTGAAGGGATCTTGATAGTGTATACTATAAAACATGAACGCTAGTTTAGTTGATGCATCAAGATGCTGGATGCCAGCACTTACTCGCCTGTTCTAAGGAATCCATCAGCTTTTTTGTCATCTTCGTTATACGGATTATATGTTCTGTAGAGGATATTTATATCAAAAACTATGAATATTTGTATATAAATATAATAACATTGTTGAAGAAAGAGAGAAAATAAGTCAATATGACAAGTTTGTCTTACAATATGAACGTCAATCGGTAGTATGATACGGTGTGAGTAACTGCAATTGCGTCGCAACTTTTTATAATAACGGGTCACAGTGTTATTGTATTTATATCGCAAAAAAACACAAGTACAAGTTTGTAAAAAATAACAGGATGATATTTACGCTGTTTCATTTACGCCATCCAATTTCTTAATGAATGTATGATTACGTCGCCAATTATCTATTTTTCATCATGACCTTCCAACTAAAAAACATGATTTTCATACTCAATCATATTTAATTCTTCAATCCAGCATAAAATATACTTTCCATTTTAATGATTTTGATAAAATCATTCAAAAAAATATCCGAACGTTTTTTCAATAGAGGCGATCAACTTAGCATCTTATATTTTTCTGTTCAGCAGATACTATAATATTAGCCGAATATAGAATATTTCGTAAGAAGATTAAAATAAATTCGAGCCAAAAAACAAAAAAATGTTAAATCCAAAAACACACTTCCGACTATTTTTTCTCCTCTTTATAAATGGATGTATATCTATAATCAAAAGGTAAAGGAGAAAAGATAAAAAAGAAAACAAGCTCAATAAGTTCAAAAATAAAGCATGATTAATGCTGGTGACAATCGGGTACTATTGAAAAATGAACTCATCGCTATATCATGCCAGGTCGAGGTGAATGAAGTAAGAACCTATTCTGACTATGTTCACCTCGACCGGAAATATTCTTTTTTGAATCAGTTTGACAATCGGACAGACATGTACTTTTTTCCGATTGTCAAACTGATTAAAACAAAAAAAAGTACCGACGTCATTCTTTTTCTTCTTTTGAAAAAGAAAGAGTATAAATACTGATTCTTTTTACACTTACTTACAAACAACTCATCATTTCACGTTTGGTACACATTCAAGCACGGACAAAAAATAAAATACGTAAGTTTCTTTGTCGTAAAAACTCTTCGTAAATTCTCATTTCCTTTTCACCTAGAACTCATAGAATTATCCTAATCTCTTATATATAGACATAATATTTTCTTTCAGTTGACTGTATCCTCTATTGTAAAATGATTAACATTTTATAATTATATAAAAATGAAATTATCAGATACTGTGTTGAGAAGATTTATAAGAATAAATGTGGAATCATCATGTTATTCTTGTCAAAGATCATCTTCTATATTAATCAACACACAGATGAAAATATTCTAATCGATAATTTCTTTTTTCTAGATATAATTTAATAATTCAAATTACATATGAATAATCTTACAGCCAAAAGCACTGTTAGTAGTACATTATTAAACGTACCTTATCAACTTAATATGTGGATTGGTTGCTTTATTTTAATCACAGGAAATCTAAGCACATTTGGCAATATTATTGTGTTTTCTTCTAAAGCATTTCGTAATCGTGCATGCACGGTTTATCTCTTAGCAGAAGCATTTGTTGTTATTATCAATTTTAATTTAGTACTTTTAACACGAGTACTTCAAAAAGGTTTTAAAATATCGATTATGAATCGATTTGATAGTATTTGTAAAATACGTTATTTTGCTTCAATGTATACAGATATACTTGCATTAACATTATTCATGTTAGCTTCACTCGATCGACTTTTAGAAGCACAACGTTCACCAGGTAAAGTACATATATACTCGCTTCAAATTTATTTTATTATTTATTTTAGCATTAAGAAAATGGAGTAATCGTACTAAACTTGCTTATAAAGTAGTAGCAGGTTGTACAATCGGATGGTTTTTACTTACAGGTTCTCGACTTGTATTATATAGTACATCATATGGAAGTTGTGAAGCTCTACCAGGTCCTTATGCCATTTTTGATAACTATTATGAATCTATAGTATCGGGAATCTGTCCCCCTATTATTATATTAATAATATCTTATTTAATGGTGCGAAGTGTTCGAGAAACTATTCAAAGACAAGCAGTGCCGGCAGTTAATGGTGAATTAAACAACAAGCCCAAACCAAATTTAGCATTTCTTCGAAATACTGACAAACAACTTACTATGATGTTATTATGGCAAACATTTGTTGCTATACCAGCATTTATTCCTTATGCAGCTTTATTAATTTATTCCAGTATTACTGCCAATTGGTCCAAATCAGCTGAATACGTAGCTTGGGAAAATGTATTCGCTGAAACTATTCGATTGTTATCATATACATTTTTTAGTACACAATTCTATGTTACACTTATTTCCAGTCAAGGCATTCGCAAACAAGTCCGAGCTGTTTTTACAGGCAAGAATAGTGTCAGTGTAACATCATAAATAATCCATCTAAGATTAAATCCTACTAATGTAGGTCTTGGTACACAGAATAAACACTAATTGTTGTAACTTTGTAGTAAAATATCATATCGTATTGTATGTTGTAATTCGATATTAATTTATGTATTTTATTCTTACAATAAAATTGTTTTTCGGCAACATTTAATCTGTATAACAAAGGTTCTTATTTATGAAAACTGTATATACTTAGATTAAAAATGAGTATTGATCATCTCGTGTTTTCTTTACATCTAATAAGTTACCTTGTTTCTAATATAGCTATGAAGGAAACAAAGCTATAATAGTTTGTATTATTTATTCTCTGTAAGTCGATTCTATTGATTATTAATTAAATAATATATATATCATATTCGTCATTTATATCAGTTAATACAATATGATGCATGATTTTTTTTTACTTAAAAATATCATAAAACGTCATCTAAGATTAACTACGAAAAGTAAATATATATATATCTGAACATCGATATAAAATAGTCATAACAATTTTAGACTGATATTTAATACGATCAAATAACCAATAACAATGAATAGATAAATGTATGAAAATTTTCATATCACATAAAACTATAAAAAAAAAGTATTCCATTTAAAATAATACTGATAAACGAGAAAAATTCCCATTCTATTATGATTAACAAATATTCGATCATCTCTAGATAAATATACATCTAAAAGTGATTTATAATTCAACGGCATTTTCAATCATTCCTCTTTCGTTGGCATCGTATTTTAATAAAATTGAAAGGCACATCTCTTTGAATAATGAACTTTGCTATAGTTAATTTTTATATATTAAATTACTTTAGATAACCTGTAAAAAATGAATTTGAAAAGTTATTACGAAAATAGACAACTTTGAGTCAAAACAAAACGAGAATATTAAAAAGCATATATAATATGTATCCGTCTTCTGAAAGACAGACGTCATTCAAAGGAAAACAAAAGAAATAAAAAAAATACAGTATGTTAAGCGATCAAGTTTAATTATTACACGTGGATAGAAGAGAAACAGAACGAAGTAAAAAAGCGTATCATGGTATAAATATATATATCATGACTCACGATCATAACATCCTTACTGAATATTAAGAAATTCATATCAAATATAAAACGTGTATAACTATTTTGTTTGTTAGGAGTGAAATTTTTATTTAACCAATTTTAAATTTATTGTTCATTTTTTTTAAGCCGTTCAAATTTTTCTATAAATAATTTTTACTTAAAAAGAAAACCTATATAGGATAGAATAATAGAATATTACTTTAGTAAAGAACAGGTACTTATCAAATATGAAGTCATTATAGGATATTCTCATTGTATATTGATAATCACGAAAATATAGATGGAAATTAGTGGAATAAAATCTTGAAAAATAAGTTTGCATTAGTATTAGAGGATGGTACGCATCTTCTATTAAAACGTCGTACTATAGCATATATCTTTATTCTTCCATTATTTTGTTTTCACCTTGATTGACTCGTGTCTTTAAAATATAAAATCAGAGAGTGAAGAACACGGTTGATGTTCATTACCTGAACGAGTACTAACATCTTCACTTTCTGTTTCCTTCAAATATGCTAGTTTATCTTTGCCATTTTCATCTTGCATCATCTTCTATTTTTTCGTTGCATAATTTCTTTTATTGCTCGTATTTCATCATCTTTCAAATTGCATCAGCTCTTGTTTATAATACTGTCTGGTCAATATTTATCTTTATCTTCATTCGTATGCAATATATATAGATTCGTTTCTATGTCATTTTCAAATAGAACGACATGTTTATTAATAGTACAATGTAGTCATAGTTGTCTTTAGAATTTTCTGATTCTCTTTTCATGGTATAGTTCCCATCACATCACATGTATATATATATATATATGTATCGAATATTCTTATGATCGATATATATGTTGTTCTTCGCTCTTTAGAATTTATTGTCTTTGACCTGTTATTTTCTCTATTTTTCTTCACGTATACAAGAAATTCAATTTATCTATTCGCTTTGGTTGATCCAATATCAAGAGGTGACAAACAGAAAAACAAACTTAGTTAGTAATATGACTGTTCTATAGATCATCTATTTTCGAAATAAATCTATTCAGTAGTTGTTATTGCGTATTCAATTTTTTAAACAGAGAAATAGACAAAATATTCCACGTGTAAATTATATATATGATAGTCGTCATTGGTAATAATCAGATTATTTTTGTGTTCTGTGCTTTCATTTCTCTGTCACGATAAAAAACGTTTACTTACACATGTTTTTCTTCTTTTGGCACATGCTTTTTAAAATAAGATATATATAAGAATCAGCTATTCATTTAATGAAAGGAATAGAAGAACGAGTTGAAAATTAATACAAAGACTGACCTAGAATAATGACCATGTTAAAATTTCAAGTTTCATAGTATTAAAAAAATTTCTTTTTTATATTTAGCACGAGCAATTATGTCAATGGAAGCTCAATTAAAAGCTATAAAATATGTTTATTCAACAGTTTATCATGGTGAAGAAGAATGTATGAAGAATGCTACTTTATTACCTATTAATAATGCAATAGTATATCCAAACAATAAAATCTTATATAAAAAATCGGATAATACAATAGATTTTATCGATATTTCAAATGTAGATAAAAGTATATTTTTTGATAAAGGTTCTAATCAAGATTCTGTTTATGGTAATGTTATTGAAAGATATAATTCAGCTAAAAGTCGATTAACTTTCAATCCCGATGAATATCAATGTGAAATGGTTGATAGTGGTAATAAATTTCTTTTAAATTTAATTAATGATAAATTACCAACAATAATCGCAATTTCTGATATTTATCCAACATATTTTGATCTTGGATTATCTTCAAATGATTCTAATCAACAATGTTTAGATTATAGTCATAGAAAAGTTGATGATTTAATACATTCAGGTGATATTCAAATAAATAGTTCAACTGTTAGTTCATTATTACATTGTATATCTGGTAAATTTAAGAATGGAATGAAATATGTAACTATTATATCTGGATATAACAATACACCATTATATCGATATATTGAACGACGACCAATTGTTACAATAATTGATCATGAAAAAAAAATTATTTATGTTGTTTCTGTACCATTAGATGAATTTACTATTGGAAAATCAACAATATGTATACCTATTGGTATTACATGTCTCGATGTTCAAGATAGTACAAATCAAAAATTATTGATTGAAATTTTTTCCAATACAAAATCTTGTGATAGTTATTTACCAACTTTATCACAGCCTGCTAAAGATACAATTATTGAATCAATCAATACGATTAGTTCAGACATACCAATTGAAGAATCAACAGATGAAAGGAAAGAAATAATTCTTCCACATTCATCAATAGTAGTCAATCCTACTACAGCATCTAACATATTACCACTATCAAATATTTCAATGGATAAACATTCTGTTTTAATCTATAGTGGTATTGATGAAATTGATTATTTTACAAAGAAAATCAAACCGGATATATTAATTCGATCAATGAATACGTATATTGTACTTAAAAAAGAAGATGATAAATATATTTTACATTCTGAATATCATAATATTGATTCAAATGAAGAATTAAATATCGGTCAACAACATTTTCCTAATTTATTACCAATGGAAGGTGGTGCAATACTTTTTGCAAGTAAAACTGTTCCAAAATTAAATTCAGATCAACATAAAATTGAAAATATACGTGAAAATATTTTTCGGAATACAATTCCAATATTTCTTATGGGTAGAATGGATGATTTATGTCGTAAAGTATCAACGAAGTTAAAAATTAATGCGATTTATATATGTATAGTTGATTATCCTGATAATGATATAATGTTAGATGATATAAAACGAAATCAATTTTTAGAAAATACATGTATGAATGGTGTTACAGCATATGCTGGGCCATTATCTCTTGTTATTATTGCTATTATGAATCCAATTACAAATAATTTTCAATATTTTTATGTTGATGGTATACAATATGAGAATTTTATTGATTCAATACCATTATTTGGTACGGATATAACGGAAATAATTGAAAATAAATTATTAAATTATATTGAAAATAATACATTTGAAAATTCTATTGTTGACATTAATCAAGAACAAGTTTTATTTAATAAGAAATTAATATCATTTACAAATTTTAAAAATCAAATGATGGAAATGACATTAGATGAAATTATTGATAATAAATTTAAAATTCTTGATGTTATGTCTCAATGTCAAAGAATATATGATAGTGTAATAATGGATAAATATTCAAATGAATTAGTTTTATTATTAGAACAGAAAATTAATCAAATTATTAGTGAATATAAAAAATCCTTTATGAATAATCTTGAATCAAATATGAATAATAAACAAAAATTATCGAATGAAACATCGAAAATTAAAGGATTAATTAAAATATTAAAACGTAATACACAAGAATTAGTCGATAAAATTGGTTTATCAATATCAAAACGAAAACAATCATCAATTAAATTTAATTTAGCACAATTGAAAAAAAAAGAGACAATTAAACAAAATGTTCAAAGAGTATTAAATATGTCCTATCAAGATTTTACTGATTTATTAGAAAAATTATGTGATGAATCAGGTGTATTATGGTTAAATTTAGATTATAATAATTTAATTCAAATGTTGAAAGCTGTAAAAGATAATGAAATTGGTAAATATTTAACAGAACCCATATTACCACTTATTAATTGTCGAAATGGTGATTTCAATATTGATTCATTTACTATATCTATATTATTGGAACAAAGTGCATGTGAAAGAATGGATCCTATAAGACCACAAAAAACCGATGAAATTGTAACGAGTTTACCAGTATCATCTACTTATGATGGTTTAAGAACAAGTTCATGGTTTTTTCCATTAATTGATAAATATAAAAATTTACAAATACCTTATGATTTAAATTGGATAACTGAAGCAAATAATAGTGATATAGCTGCATTTCGTATTATATCACGAGGTACAATATCCAATGCTTCCGTATTAAGAGATTTACAATTAAATATTCAACCACAAGATAAAAATATAACATGGTTTTTAATCTATATTACATTAGCAGCTATTGATGAATTAGTTCAAAAACGAAAAAATGATATTGATATCAATAATTTTAATGATACATTTTGTATTAATATTCGATGTTTATTATGTAATTTATTAACATATGCTGCTTCCGGTAATGTTCCTTGTTCATTTGTCTGGCAATTATTTACTTATAATACACGTCCTGATTTACCAAAAGATGATTTTGAATGGGGTATGTACGTTCAAATTATGAAATATGTTGAATATACTGCATGGGATTTAACAATACTTAAAAAAAATATTCGAGCATTATTATGTAAAACATTAAATAAAATAATTCTTAAAGCTACAGAAACATTACGTGAAAATAAATCAAAATCAAAAAAAATCGATCAAAAAGAATATTTATATAAATTACATAAAATATATTATCCTTATTATGAAAAAATGGTTCGTTATTGTAAACATATACGTGATACAAATGAACCAATCGAACAAGATAAAATAAATGAAATCTTACATGTCTTAAGTGAATTTAATAATCGTCGATATTGTGTTGGTAGTATTCATCAATTATCAATACATTTAAAAAGGAATTTTCAAAACAAAAAATTTGTTGATAAATTACTTAATTGTATATTATATAAATGGGATAATTATGATAAAAAATATAAATTAAAATTATCCGAATTTATTAAACAAACATTTTTTAATTCGCCGTCTGAACAAGAAAAAGAATTAGATATTAATTTAATACAAAATCAACTTAATGATTTTAAATTAAAATTAACTGAAGAACGACCTAATGTGTTATCTATGATTGATAAAGAAATTAAACCAATTACAAATTATGATGAAATTCAAAAATTATTTACACTTATTGAAACAATTATTGAGAATAATAAGAAAAATTTATCAGTAGATGAATTAAAAGAGATTAGTGCAAGTCTTGATGATATATATAAAAATGAAAATAAATATTGGCAACCATTTAATCCATTTCCACAATTTATAAAAGAAAATAAGATTGAAATTTATTTTAATAAAACTGATGAAGTAAAAGAAGAAGACGAAGTTGAAGATAGTCAACATATTGTATTGTATAAAAGTATATTTAAAGAACATTATTTTGGTATTATTGAACAAATTACAAAAGATTTGAAATTAAATTCTATTATTGAACGTACAACATTTAATTCAACAGATGAATTTATTATATTAGCTAAATTTGCTGGATTTGGACAAACATTTGAAGAAATATCTGAAACAGTTAAAAGCATTCTTCATTCATTACTTATCAATTGGGAAAAATCAGCAGACGTAGCCGAAGCTATTGCACTTGAACGATTTATTTAACTCTTTTTTTAAATTTCTTTTCGTTATAAAATTAAAATAAAGTGGATTTCCTTTTTTAGCATTCGATTGCAGTTTATATGGTTTTCCTCACCCACACTTTCCTTCTTGCTTACGCTGAACTTTTAAATTATGCACAGCCTCATTCACTTCCTGATAAGTTACCGCTCTAAATTAGACATTAAATTATATTATAAACACTATTTTCTTATAAAGTCTTGTTTGTTTATTATTAAAATAATAGAAATACAACGTGTTAGATTTGTGACAAACCACCATCGACAAAAAGTTCGACACCAGTAATGAAACTGCTATCATTCGAGGCTAGAAAAACCACGGCTTTGGCAACTTCATCTGGCATTCCAATACGATTCAATGGTGCAGCTGCTTGCCATTCGGCCATAAGAGTTTTCGTTTCTTCCTCATCTTTTCCAAGACTTCTTAGTAAAGGTGTATCAATCGCTCCAGGACTTAAAGTATTCACTCGAATCCTACGATCTTTTAAATCAACTGTCCAGCAGCGAGCAAAAGATCGAATAGCTGCCTTTGTTGCACAGTATACACTTAAAGCTGGATCTCCTTTCACAGAACTGGTCGATCCATTAAGAATAATTGATCCACCGTCGGTCAACATTGGTAAGGCTTTTTGTACGGTAAACAAAACTCCTTTGACATTAACATTAAAAGTATCATCAAAATGTTTTTCAGTAATTGTTCCGAGTGGTGCAACCAAGCAAGTACCTGCATTGGCAAATATTATATCTAGACGACCTTTCTCTTTCTTAATGATATCGAACAATTTATCAAGATCATTCATATTTGATGCATCACCTTGCACTGCAGTAATATTAATTTTGCCGATTTTTTTCACAGCTTCTTCGAGTGCTTGTTGTCGACGTCCAGTAATAAAAACATGTTCGGCACCTTCAGCAATAAAACGTTGAGCAGTGGCCAAACCAATACCTTCAGAGCCACCAGTAATCAAAGCAATTTTATTGTCTAACTTTCCCATTTTCGATTGTGTGATGATGACAGTTGATACTTTTTATCAAGCACTATTGAGGACTTCGTTCTGTAGAAAAAGAAGAATTATTTATCTAACTTACAGAGTTAAAAAGTATTTATTTTACTGTTATCTATCTTTTGTCCTTTTACCTATGCTACATCATGCAAACACCTGTTTTTTTGTTTTGCGTTCGTCACAAACATAACACACGATGCAAAAGTGTTTTGCAAAACTACCAACTCCAGCAATTCAGTAATTTCATAAGATAGGAGGATAATTGTTTTGCGCTTTAGTAGAACACAAGACGTAAACTATAAAATAGAGTGCCTATCACCATTTTATTCGAAGCTCCTTTTCAATGAAAACAACTATTTCTTAATAGTTGAAAAATATAGAGATTTTTTATGGAATATTATTTTGATATTATCAAATAAAAAATTTTATTACTCGAAAATCTATGTCATTAAGAAAAAAGTCAATTATTAATATTATACTAAATCAAGAAAATAGTTCACATCATTGTAATATCGACGGAACGATCATTGTATAATTCTTGATTCTTTTGATCAAAATAGCCGATTTGATCCGACTTTGAGTCCGAGATAAGATGTCGAGCTTGAGTAAGTTCATTGATAGCCATTGTAAGATGTTCAATGATTTCATCATTTGTCGGGTATGGATAATCACCAGTGGCGAGTTCAAGCATTTGCCCATTGGCACGCCATACCTTATGCATTGCATATTCTAACGCAGCTGTCGATTCCTTCTTGTAAAAACTATATCGTGCATAATCAAAGGCATATGGATTGTTTGTCATGTATGAATTGACTACAGTAATTCGAGGTTCCGAACAAGAATCAATAGGTGTGACTCGATGTGCAATACGACTACCTTGACAAACAGTGAAATTAATCTTTCGAAATAAATGTATTAGAATTCTTACCTTGCATAAGTATACATGAATTGATATCACCATATTCGATCTTTCGAGTATACTCATCTGGCACTTCACCTTTATATTGTTCGATGAGATGAAATGCTTCTTTAGATTCACGTTCGATCATCTCTAAATCACCACCTATTGTTTTGTTCATGTCGGATGCGCGTAAAAGGAGAACATACGGTACACTATCGCAATGGTATTGAGTAACATTTAGTCCATTAGGAAATCCAATATTTACTTGACTATAGAATATTTGATAGGCTACTGGAAGAAGTTGTACATCACCAGTTATTTTCGATAAATGGTTAAGAACACGTGGACATCGATTGAAATCTTGAATCCATTTACTTCGATATCCACAATCACGAATGTGGACAGTTGCAATATCGTCATTCTTTTGATAAGCTTGGTCACGATCAATGATCATAAGCAATACTCGATAACCTTTATCACTTAATACTTGAAATGGACTAGTGTATGCAAGTTGACCATCAACATTCGATGTTAAGGATCGATCGACTTTTGGTGTTTTGGAAACACGTTGAAATTTGTCGAGTAATACAACATAATCTGGTTCAGTCAATGATAAATGAATATCAGGATCGTAGATTGGTTCATCTTGATAAAGTGTGAATGTTGGATGAGGCAGAAGTGGAGGCATGGAAATCGTATTCATCTTATCTAAAGTCATTTATATGTGATCTTCTTTTCTGTTGTCCAACTTCAAATGGACAAAGAATTTTGATAAATAAAGGTCTAAATGCAACTTCGAAACTTCTAGAATAAACTCGATGTATTCTCTAAAATCCAAGTGTATACATAAATGCAAGAAAAAAAAATGATAACAGAATTCGAAGATAACATGAATAGGATAAAGCATGTAAAGATGATGAAAGCAAGATTCTTGCAAGTGTGAGTGTGATATAATTCAAATATCAACAGTCAACCCTAGAATAACTATATTAACAGTCAGAGATAAATGAGTTGATTCATATTTTCATTACAGTGAAAAACAATCGAGCTCTAAAGAATACTTCTGTTTACTGAAAAACCACAATCACATTTTTAAGGATTATATTCGTTATTTTCTACGAATAAACAACATAGATTCACATCCACATTAAAGCATTTTTAAGAGTATATAGACAAAAAGTAGTCATAGTATTCAGTTTTAGTCTAAATTGTTGTGTCTTCAATAGTTGGAATTGGTGCTTTTAATGGTTCTGGTAGTGCATTAACATATATAAGTTTTTGATTAACAGGACGATTCCATTTTCTTCCTCGTTTTTCTCTTCGAAATCTTTCTCGTTCTTCACGTGTTAGATCAATACCAAAGCAATACGTTAATATATCCATTATTACAATAAACATTGCAACAATTGTCATAGCAATAATAGCAATATAAGCGAATGACTTCGAAACTATTTTATAAATAATAATTTTCGTCGTACTAAATTCACAATGACGACCGTAATAATTTTCACTAAGACATTCACATGTATAGTTAAGTAATAACCGACGGCAAATAGCACTATTTTCACAAGTGATATTTAAACAATAATTTGTCATTGATTCACAATGAACACCTTGCCATCCATTATTACATATACAATGAAATAATGCATCTGATGTTTCATTACATACACCTAGAAAAAAAAGTTTCACATACGTAGATAGAAGAATGCACAAAAAGTGTATACCATGATTGAAACAAGTATGTATTTTACAAGGTCGATGATCAAATTCACATTGTATACCACTGAAACCAGATGAACATAAACATGTATATCCATGAACTACAGTATTATTGTTAATACAAGTACTATTATTCTCACATGGTTTTATCATGTCACATGGACCACTAAGGATATTACAATCAACGCCAATATAAGATGAATCATTGCAAGATTTTGGAACAAAAATTGATACTGAGTTTTCAGCTAAAGTAAATAATGAAGATGTCGATGAGTTCCAATCGTTAAATAAAACTAACTTAAAACTTGTGTTACTATTGTAGTTTGAAGTATTCCTGTATTAGATGTAGTCATTAAAGTTACATCTATCGATGAAAAAACTAATACTTACCCACTGATTGTTTAATTGAAGTTGTTTCTAAAAAAAAGATATGAATTAATTGCATTAAAAGATTCGATCTTACTAAATTATTTATTTTACACTCGCTTTTCATCATATATGGGAAAAATTTAAAACAAGAAGCGTATCAATGCTTGACTATCAAAAAATTTTTATCAAGGAAGTTTATTTGTTCGTGATTATGCACTTGAAAAAGATTCTACAGTAACAATATTGTTACAAACCTTTTTCTTGTGCAGCAGTTGTAGCATTAGTGTTGAAGACGAATGTAGACAACGTATTTGTCGAAGGTTTTACTAGAAATAAAAACAAAACATATAGATCATCAAAACGAGACTATTGTTTACTCATGTCAGTAGTTGTTGTTACTACTACTGCTGACGATATATATTGTG